CCTTGACAGATGAGTTGTATTCTTAGTATCACTTTTTTGACCAGCTTCTACGCGACGGTGATCAATAGAGCAGCTGGTTCGCACGTCCATTGATTTTTCTGGTTTGGCCAAGCGCACCAGGCTATCAAGTGGCTATCCAGACCGGGGTTCGCAGTAATAAGAAAGCATTAAGGACACTGTGGTCCACAACACTTCAAGATGTATACAGGAAACTTGTCCATAGTCGCATATACCTTATGCAAATCATATATATTTGAGTTTCGTGCATGGTTCGTTTGGTTTTTACGAGGCAGGTACACTAAAATGTTGTATTGCTTCCACTCATTGATGTAGATTTGTATCCTGACTGCCACCCACACGTATTGGCTACTCAGAGACAACTCACACAAAATAGTGTTCAACAGTTTCAGAAGATGGGAGACACCAGATAGTTTGCGTCTTTCCATGCTTATGTGAAGCACAAATGTTTGAAAACGGGGAACACGAATTTAATCGCTTTAAATCTGAGATGAAATCTGTCGTTGTTGTTCACGCTCCCATCGGGTATACACACTCACCGGTTCCTGAGACAAGTGAGCACAACATGACCCGTTTTGCTGAAATAGTTTTGAGAACGCTGTTGGATCTTACGACCTTTTTGTGAACATCTAACCCCAAGGGGATTATTCTGAAAACAAAATGTCCCTAATTTTGCGGTATTTGTATCTGTAATGTCAGCAAGATTAATGAACTAAATGTATGCCAGAATTAAGCAGAATGAGCACAGAAATGTACAGACAAATGAACCCACTCGTTTTGTCATGCAGAAAAACACGAGAAACTATCTTTGGTTTAAGGTCTATTGTAGTTGCGCCCACATGGGCAACAGAACGATTTCTGTCGTTCATACAAGGGCAAATTTCTAGTTGGCAGTATGCTAGTTACAGACTAGTTTAAGAGTAAATAGCCGGAAATCTTCCCTTTTCCAACCTCAGGCTACATCCCCAGACGAAAAAGCCCTGGTTGAAGGAGCGGCAAAGTATGGTATCGTACTGAGTTCTACGAATCGCTATCCGGAAGTCGAAGGTGGACGCCGTTTGGTTTTACAAAGGAACCCAACCAACGACATGAATCGGACAACCACAGAGGAATATTTTGTCGACGCTACAGTGGAATTTGACTCCAACCGAAAACGAATGACCGTGCTGGTCCGTCACCCAGATGGAACATTTCACATTCATAGCAAAGGCGCTGAAAGTAAGCTGTTAGAAGTACAGGTGAGTTCGATGGTAGAGCTACTTTGTTTATTTTCCTTAAAAACTTTCCTGTCGTCTCCCTTAGCTGGATCGAAACAGGTTTATCCGTTGAGCACGAGTTAAGACTGCAGTGTATTCCTAGTGGCAGGTGCACAGTCTCCGCGTTCCATCCACCCGTGGCCTGATGAACGATTTCTTCTGTAAAAGCAACTCCCAGGAGATAAAAACTACTCTCTGTTCCCCTAGGTCTTTTGGGAAGATGGCTTTAGAAAATAAATGTTTCAATGGCCCCTAACCATGAGGTTTGTAGATTATCCATTCCTCCTCAGTTAGCATGTTGAATATATATCTAGCTGGTATCAGATCTGAATGAGGAAAACGGAGTGAAACAGTGGCTGTTGGTGTAAACTAGGAGAGAAGGTCACTTTTTTTATAGCCATATCGGTCTTCGCCCCAAGCAAGCAGTAGTTTTAAAATCGCTCGCATCTGAGCAGACCAGTTCCAAAGTAAGTGGCTACTTCTGGTCGGTCAACCGAAGCGGTCTGCGTCTAAACCTCTGTTTGGAGGCTGCTCCACCTGTGTGCCCTACTCGATCTCTCCTTACTGACTACTTGTGACGTCAGTTTCATCTGAAAGAGTCTGATTCGGTTTCGCATGACACAGTTGGCAGATCTGCTGAAGCGTGTACAGAACTGTCACCCTTTGTTCGTTACGTTGCCCAATTCTGAGAGGACATCGCATTAGATTCCCTCTACTTGGAGGAAAGCGGCAGGGAGTTCTACTCTCCCCAACCTTGTTAGTCATCCCGATGGATGAATTCTATCGATTGTTGATGCCAGTTCCGCGACAATTTAATGGATGGTTTGCCCTGGCTGTCGATTGGGCCGTGTGTGCCTGAAGCTACTGAGGTTGATTTAGAAGGTCCATGATGATAATCCATGCTCAAAAGACGAAACAGGGGTGATTTGTGGGGGCAGAAAATATCGGGCTACTGCGGTTTCAGTCAGACCTTTCTAATTGTCCAAGGATTTCATTACTTCCCTCGATTCAGACCAGTTTACTTTCTGGAT